GCCCAGCCTGTGCATGTGATCACTGTGACCATTCACAGCTAAACACACTTGTATACAATGGATGGCATGAAAGGGAGCCATCCATTGTATACAGCTGTTATGTGGCCTGCTGTGATTGGTCAAAGCAGGTCACATGGTACTGGCAAAGGGGACAGTACACAGATCTGTCAAAGGCCGTGTCCAAGGTACACAGTCGGTGAAAGATCTCACCACAGCGTGGCCCTGTGGGCACATGCAATGCGCAATCTGGGTAGGATGTCACATGACGCCCTCCCGGAGGGACAAACAGGTTCGCCCGGCTGTTATATTACTATAGGCCGAGCAGGAAGTAGTTAAGCAGTAGTAAACCCAAAAGAAAACATTTATTATATTGCAGCTTACCAATTCTAAGATGTGAAGGCTGCATTAGTTTTCTTTTTTTAGGTTTTATTTCATATATTGGCATTTGGTGATCTGCCCAGCAAGTCTGTTGTTTTTCAAATGAACAAGCTCTCTTTCAGATGTATCAGTTACAGGTATGAGACAAACCATTTACCACTGACGTTGGTGCTTACAATGCTCAACTTTTATTTATGCAAAATCTTTATTCCAAAAAGGAAAAAAAAAATGTTTGCTGTAATGACTTATAAAGCATGAGCTGGTGTTTGGCTTCAAGTTGTTAGTGTACTTAAATCTGCTAGCCCATCTAACACTTTCCTCTCCCCCTGGCTGACAATGCTGCTGTCCAAAGGTGCTCCTGTGCTTCTTCATCCAGAGTGGAGGTACTCTAATACCGGTGTTACTGGCCACATCACCAGGTGAAAACAGAGGGGGAAAGCCTAAAAAAAACTAATACAGCCACCACATCTAATGATTGATAAACTGCAATATATCACATTTTTGGTTTTGGGTTTAATATTGCTTTAAACGGTTTTGAACAACAGTGAGAATTGTTTTCTGCTATTTGATGTTTTCACACCTTGGAAGAAGGGCTGCAGGGCACTATCACCTGAGGGCTTCAGCTGAGTCATTTGTAATGTGGGTTGATCCAATTGTTTGAGTTGTTCAGATCCATTTGTATAGAACGGCATAAGTACACAACCTGACCTGCCATATACTAGTTTTGTGGCAGTGCTTTTGTGCTCATTGTGCAACTAAAGCCACTTCCATTACAGTCTTCTCACATGGGTTGTTTGTCAATACTTTAGCGGCAAATGTGTCATAAAGTAAGGTGGGCACGTCATAGTTTGAAAAATACATCATCTACATTTGGTTAAAGTTGAAAATGATTTTAGCCTTCCAGATAGAATAGACGGCTTCTGGCCACAGCACATAGGGGGAAATTACCTTGACCGTACTCATTTTCTCACACTTTTAACAGAAACAGCATGATAAAGACGAGAAGATTGTGTAGACAGAGTTCACTCATTGGCCACCTGAGATAGCAAAGCCAGTCATTTGTCTATTTACACACATCTGAAATGAATTGCAGGAGGTTATGAACACATGAAGCCATTTAACGAAACCCTATTGTCTTTTAAAAATAAATTTTAAAAAAAGATCAGTGTGATTTTTATAATTCTATCAATGTATGTTGTTTGAAAACTATTTCTATGTACAATTTGCGATTTACACTGTTCAACAGGTAAAAAGTTTTGGGCATAAAATTAGCTAATCTTACATAATTTTGGGGTGCTGAAAACGAAAATGACCCTAAAAAATGTTGATTGGCTCTAGTTTCCATGATATATTCACCCATCTAATGACGTAAGCCATTCAAAATTATGATGCAACTTCAGCTGCATATTGCGCAATTGATACTGGTGACCAATAGAAAATTGCATGTTTACTGAGATGATGCAATATTAGCCTTTAATTGCATCACTTCACTGCATAAAAGCTGCAGTATCTGTAGCTGATTGTAGTTCGACAGCGTCTTTACATTTCGTTTTATGCTTATATAGGCTACTCAGTAATGCCTCGAACTTGTGTGAATAAAGCAGATAATTTCTGCTATATCTGCGGTGAAATAACTTTTATCTCACAAAAAAGGAGGATAACAGGAATGATTAAGAAAGCCTACAACTTGTATTTTGGCTGCAAGATAGGAGACCAGGACAAGAGCTGGGCACCACATACATGCTGCAATTCTTGTGGGACGGCACTGGAGCAATGGTTGAATGGAAAAAAGGCATCTATGCCTTTCGCTGTGCCAATGATTTGGAGAGAGCCAACAGATCATGTTAGTAATTGTTACTTTTGTATGGTGCCTCCAATTGTAAAAGGGCTAAATAAGAAGAAAAAGTTATCTGTGCACTATCCAAATATTCCATCGGCAATACGTCCAGTTCCTCATGGAGAGGGGCTACCAATTCCTAAAGCACCAGAATCCTTCGTGGTTGAGTCAAGTGAGGAAGAACCTGAAGCGTGTAGTCACGTGCAGTTGTAAGAGATAGCCCTTTCCTCGAATACAAGAGAAAAGCCAAGAGAAGCAAAACCGACACAAACTGAAGACAAAACTAGTGAGAATCCTAAGTATTAAAATGATTCAACTTAGCTTATGGCTATAATTTTTCTTGGTAATCCTATGCAATATATTATGCCATTTAGGCTTTGTTATGTAGTCAATATCACTTGCTTTATATTTGTGGAAAGACATCTATCTATATAATTATTGTGCATTATGTAGTCATTACGCCTATAGTAGAAAACTTTCCGTTTACAGAAAAACTAGAGCCACTTGACAAATTTCATTGTTATATTTGAACTCAGAATGTGAAATTTATTAAGAAATGGATCCTTTTGTTTCCAAAACTGGCAAAAAATAAAAATTAGTTGAACAGTGTTATGGATAGACGTGGGGCAGCCATATTTGGCCATTGCTTCCTTCTTTACTACACAAAGAGGTTGATTTACTAAAACTAGAGAGTGCAAAATCGGGTGCAGCTGTGCATGGTAGCCGATCAGCTTCTAACTTCAGCTTGTCCAATTTTTTTTTTATTTTTTTTTTTTAAATTAAATAAAAAAAAAATAAAAATGGAAGCCGATTGGATTGGTCCTCTATGCAGAGCTGCACCAGATTTTGCACTCTCCAGTTTTAGTAAATCAACCCCAAAGGTTGTACTTTACTGTTCATCTTCACAATGCAAGTCTATGAGTTGGCTGCTTCATTGCAAACAAAGGACTGTGCGTGTGGATAACACCTAACCCCAACAGTTGTTTAAAGTGATTTCACTAAGCCTCTGGGAGCTCCCTCTAGATACTAATTTACTAATCTCCCAATTTTCATGGGCACTAGGTGCATAGAGAATGAGGGTAGGGTACAGTACAGTTATTTACATTGTGTGAAAAGTGTGTCTTGTGTCACCAGCTTATAGCTCTCCTTATGAGTGATCTGAACTGGCACAGCACCAATTTAAAATATAGCCCTAATTAACCAATTCAATATCGTAAATTTTACACCTTCCTGCCCAGGCCAGTTTTCAGGTTTCAGCGCTCTCACACTTTGAATGACAATTGCGTGGTCATACAACATTGTACCCAAACTAAAATTTTATCATTTTCTTCACACAACTAGAGCTTTCTTTTGGTGGTATTTAATCACCACTGGAGTTTTTATTTTTTGCTAAATTAACAAAAAAGTCCGAAAATTTTGAAAAAAAAACACGTTTTCTTTGTTTCTGTTATAAAAGTTTGCAAACAAATAATTGTTCTTCATAAATTTAGGCCAAGATGTATTCTGCTACATGTCTTTGGTGAAAATAACCCAAATTAGGATGTATTTTTTAGTTTGTAGGAAAGTTATAGAGTTCACAAACTATGGTATAGATCTGAATATTGATCAATCCTGAAGTACTGACAGCCAATCTAATTTCTTGAGGTCCAAGAATGTCAGAACAGTACAGATATTCCCCAAATGACCCCTTTTTGCAGAGTAGACAGTCCGACGTACTTCATAAGAGGAATGGCGAGTTTTTTGAAGTCGTATTTTTTTTGTCATAATTTTTCGGAAAATGAAAAAAAAAATTATTTTCACTATTTTTTTTTTTACATACTGTGACCGGTGCAGTACAGCGTCATTATATAACTGGCACGGCGGTGATCAGGGACACTGACTGGTGACAGTATGAAAAAAAAAATTTTTTTTTTTTTTTTCATTTAAAATTTTTTATTACATTATTTTTTCTTTTTTTTTAAGATTTTTTTTCATATTTCACTATGTCCAAAGTAGTACAATGTTACCATGGTAACATTGTACTACTTTGGGGAAGTGATCAGTATTTTTTTTTTTTTTTTTTTTTTTACACAATTTGCTTATAGCAAAGAATTACTTTGCTATAAGGAAGCATTTACCTGAATGACATCGATTCATTCAGGGTTTTTTTTTTTTTTGTGCTTAGCTGTGATTTGGCCACAGCTAATCACATGATATGTGCATGTGATTAGCTGTGACCATTCACAGTTAGACACTAGTATACAATGGATGGCATGAATGAAGCCATCCCATGTATACAACTGTCATGTGACCTGCTGTGATTGGTCACAGCAGGTCACATGGTATCAGCAACGGGGGCCGGTACTCAGATCTGTCATCGGCCTTGTCCGAGGTACACGGCCGGTGACAGATCGCGCTGCTGTGCGGCTCTGCAAGCGCGCGAACTGCACATGTGCGAGAGGACGCCATATGGCGGCCTCCCGGAAAGGTAATGCATTTTTGCGGACGCCATTTGGCCATAGGCCGGGCGTCAAATGGTTAAGTTTAAAAAGTGGCCCACCTTGAATTAAAAAAAATGTTGCATACATTTATAAACCTGAAAAAAATAGAATCACCATCAGTTTTCCTTTTTTTAACGTCATATTCAAAAGGTTATTCCAGTAGGGAATGCAGTGTCCTTGTTTATTATGTATTCTATTGAGAATTTACAAAACTGTCAGCAATATGAAAATGCTTCATGTACTGTTGTGGAACAGCACATATGTAGCCTGTTTCATTTGCATCTTGCTTGGGTCTGTCTGGCTTGTTATTGCACAGGGAGCAGCTGAAAGCTGGTGATACAGTCAATAAGCCAATTTGAGGGCGCAAACCAGACCTTGCCTTGGCGTACCCTGCCTGGGACATATTTAGAAGTCTTATCGTAAATTATATACTGTGTGCAAAACCTTTGATCAGAGTCAGAATCAGCATGGTAGGCTACAGTGTTAATAGTCTGGGTCACATCACTATCAGGCTTTGGTTGGCGAATGAGAATTTGTCCTCCAGCCGCTTTAACCAGCTCAGTCAAGTCTTCCTTTTTTTGTTCTTTGAAGGACCCAAGGAAATAAAAATGACATCCATCCAGTAGTTTTGGAAGCTATGTAAAATAGAAAGAAAAAATTACATAAGGCAGGAAACTTATCCATAGTGCTTAAAAATAATTCTCAGAAAGTTGAAAACCATTCTACAGCTGCTTATATTACAGGACTAAGACTGTGTGTGTAATCAAGAAAACAAAAAGCTGGAGAAAAATGTAAATTCTCATGTTGCCCAAAGCAATTAATCTGTATTAAGAACTACAATTTCTCAACTGAATATTAAAGGAAGAGCCAAAACGGTTTTCTAGTGGCAAAACTATGTTTACATTTATACCAAAATGTAAAATACAAGACATCTTCTACAGTAAGTCCACCAAGACACAAGAATTAGGGGTTAATAAGGGTACACTACAGGAAAAGGAAATCTGCTTATTCTAAAAATGACCAGATCTACTTAGTCAGTACCTTTAAGCAATTACTGTATTTTCCTTAAAATCTTCAATTCACAAACATAAGTAACATGAGAAATAAATATTTTTTGCATGAAATGGGCATTTGGCTGTGAAATTAATTTTCTCATGAATAACTTTTTATTTATCTAAGAAGTATCATTTTAGTTTACAAGGGGATAATCTATATATTTTGTGAACCTATGTTCACAGTGAAATTAGTTAATCAATAAAACATTTGTGAAAAACTTTGATTTTTGTTTAGTGAACTGAAAAAAATACATGCTAATGACAATAATGCCTAGAGTATACTTTTGCACATCAAGCCTGATCTGTAGTATAGACACAATGATTGTATTGTGGTCATATAGAAAAGATTACAAAGATCATTCACTCAGAAGTTTAGTCAGTTGTACACCGCCTACTGCACTTTTTACTTCGGCAGAGCGACCCCACCCCATTACATGTACGTGATCCAGCATTTTCAGGTAGGGGGCGTGTGTCTGCCGACTCATCTGTGCTGTCATTCTTTACAGCAAAAGTCAGTCAGCAGCAGGGGCAAACTGACCATTTGGAAACTCGGGCACTGCCCGAGGGCCCGGGGTCAGTAGGGGGCCCCATGAGATGCCCCTGGTACCTTTTGCTAAGGCTTTTTTGATTTTGGGCAAGGACACAGGGGCCCCATGATTCCCTATTGCCCGGGGGCCCCATGAGTTGTCAGTCTGCCCCTGGTCAGCAGGTCCCAGTCATAAATCATCAGGCAGGCTGATCGGCTTAGTGAATAACAGTACAGAGTATACTAAGAACACAGGACTCTGTACATTGGAGCAGCAAGGTGTCTGTTTTTTCTCCCTGCTTTGCAGGGTGAAAACACAAACACATCTAGTAGTAAAAGGAGCACATATTACACATTGTTATGCACACAGTTAACCCTTTGATTGCTCCTAGATGTTAACCCCTTCCCAGCCAGTGTCCTTAGTACAGTGACAGTGTATAATATTAGCACTGATCACTATTAGTGTCACAGACGAGGTCAGTGGCAGTCAGCCAGTAACCACTCAGTGTCTGTGCAGACAGGCAATCTGACACTCACTATCACAGTCCCACCATAGTCGCTGATCACCACTATCACTAGTATTAAATAAATGAAAAATTCCAGTGTATATACCATAGTTTGTAGACACTACAACTTACACAAACCAACCAATATACACTTTTTGGGATTTTTTTTCTTACCAAAAGACAGGTAGTAGAATTCATTTTGGCCTAATTTTATTAAGAAATTTTTTTAGAGGATATATTTTATAGCAGAAAGCATTGGTTTCGAGGCCTAAGCAAATTATTTTATACATCCTAGGAGTTTTTTTTTGGGGGGGGGGGGTTCTTAGCCAAGCACACCCTGCTACGTGAATGCCTGAGCTAAGGGCAGATGGATTCCAGGAAGTAAATGCTGTATGTCATCTGTCCTTACTCAAGATGGCCACAGACAAAAATGCTAGGAGTTGTTCTTCAAAGGGATTTCTCAGCAAAATAAAGCAGGGAGACATGGATGGGTAGGGGGAGTTTGCTTTGAATATTAAAAATCTTTTCTTTGGCTAGTGGTTAGTTAATAGAGTCTTTGGTTTGTGGTGCTCAGATGCAATGTACTTCCGCTTTAACTCTAGGCAAAAAAAAAAACAAAAAACTTTATTTAAAATGTATATTTATCAATAGTTAAAGGGTTATATATCCATTTTTGTGCACTAAAACCTATGAAGAGAGAAGAGCTGTGGGAGGGACCCCGGAGGAGCACCTAATACAGGCTGCAAGTTTAGCTTTGGCCACTTGAGTACCAGCCTGTAAAACCCCTTTATTACTAAGCCATTTTTCAGTGCGAAGATAGTTTGGCTGACAATTATTTCATCATGCAACACTAACCAGATGAATTTTATATAATTTTTTGGGGCGCTTTATTTTGGTGGTATTTAGTAACTGCTGGGATTATTTATTTATTTATTTTTTACTATAGAAAAGGAAAAAAGGCCAAAAGGTTTGGGAAAAAAAAAAACAGTTTCCCATACTTTCTGTTAAAATAAAATACCAGAATAGTATGAAAACCCCCAAAATACCCTTAAAAAAAAAAACAAAAGAGACTCCAAGGTGAACTAATTTTTTTTGACACAAATTTTCAAAAAAAAATTAAGAAACATGTCAGTATTGAGCGGGTTAAACACAGAGCTTAGTCATTCACAGAAGAAGGAGGAGGTGAAGTATTTAATGTACTGGTCTCATACAGTGACATCCTGGAGATGTAGGAGTTAATGTTCAGATGTGCAGGATTAGGGAGGTGAAAGGGTTTAATATACAGGTCACGACATCATAATGATAGCATGGATAGGAGAGGGGTCTTGAAAGGGTTAATGAAACTGATCCCTAATCAAAGAGAGAATGAATGGATCAGCAACTGCAGCTGTTCATCCTTTCATTCTGTTCCCATTTATAATTACACAGTCTCTCCCCTTCCCTTTTTGTAAGGGGAGGCATCAGCACAGTAAACAGTACCAAGTGATTGCTGTGATAGCCAAACACAGCAATTACATGGTACCCAGCCCGTCAGATTAGCTGAGTACAATGTTTATGTGTACATTGTGACCACTAGCCCAACCGTTATTTATCCAGTGCCATTCCTAAACAGCACTGATTAAAAAAAAAAAAAAAAGTACTATGGTACAAAAGGGGTTAAAGAACTCCGGGAATAATACACAGATGAGAACAGCCCACCTTTAAAACCAAAATAGCAAAGTAACTCTATACTGAAAATATCAAATGTAATGCATGTGTAAGGTGGTATAGCAACAGAAGAACTCCAGGGAAAAAAAAAAAAAGTTTTTAAATCCGCTATCCCAAAATGAGTTAAACCCAATAAGGTGTATACCACTTCCTGGAGCTCTCCGTTTTTTTTTGTTTTTTTTTACCAATTTACTGTTTAACTGGGTGCCCATAGATATTGCTATACTTTCAGCATTCAAATATCCCAGCTATGGATGCTTGACACAGCAGCTATAGTATTGTTTGCACTGCCTGCCTCTCCTCTCCCTTGCTTAACCAATTCAATACCGGGCAATTTTACACTTTCCTGCCAATTTTCAGGTTTCAGCACTCTCACACTTTGAATGACAATTGCGTGGTCATACAACATTGTACCCAAACTAAAATTTGATAATTTTCTTCGCACAACTACCACTTTCTTGGTGGTATTTAATCACCACTGGGGTTATTTTTTGCTAAATTAAAAAAAAAAAAGACCAAAAAGTTTGAAAAAAAAAGTTTTTCTTTGTTTCTGTTATAAAAGTTTGCAAATAAATAATTGTTCTTCATAAAATTTAGGCCGAGATGTATTCTGCTACATGTCTTTGGTGAAAATAACCCAAATTAGGATGTATTTTTTAGTTTGTAGGAAAGTTATAGAGTTCACAAACTATGGTATAGATCTGAATATTGATCAATCCTGAAGTACTGACAGCCAATCTAATTTCTTGAGGTCCAAGAATGTCAGAACAGTACAGATATCCCCAAATGACCCCTTTTTGCAGAGTAGACAGTCCGACATACTTCATAAGAGGCATGGCGAGTTTTTTGAAGTTTAATTTTTTTTGTCATAATTTTTCGGAAAATGAAAAAATTAAAAAAAATTAGTGTCGCTATTTTTTTTTTTTACATATTGTCACCAGTGCAGTACAGCGTCATCATATAACTGGCATCATCAGGGACACTGACTGGTGACAGTATGAAAAAAAATATATATATTACCATAGTAACATTGTACTACTTTGGGGAAGTGATCAGTTTTTTTTTTTTTTTTTTTTTTACACAATTTGCTTATAGCAAAGAACTACTTTGCTATAAGCAAGCATTTACCTGAATGACATTGATTCATTCAGGGTTTTTTTTTTTTTTTTCCTGCTTAGCTGTGATTTGGCCACAGCTAATCACATGACATGTGACCATTCACAGCTAGACACTAGTATACAATGGATGGCATGAATGAAGCAATCCATTGTATACAACTGTCATGTGACCTGCTGTGATTGGTCACAAAAGGTCACATGGTACCGGCAACGGGGCAGATACTCAGATCTGTCATCGGCCGTGTCCGAGGTACACGGCCGGTGACAGATCGAGCCGCTGCGCCGCTCTGCAGGAGCGCAATATGCGCATGTGCGGGAGGATGCCATATGGCGTCCACCTGGACCGCTGATGACATTTGCCGCCCGCCATTCGGCCATAGGGCGGGCAGCAAATGGTTAAACACAGAACACTTTTCATTTTGTGAAACCATTTCACAAAATCCAAAACTTTTTTGTGAATGGACATGGGAGAGAAGGTGCTGGCAGAGGGACTGCTGTATAGGAGAAGCTATCTCTCCTCTTGGAGCTGTATAGTTAAAGCTAAAATATCCACGCTCAATAAATTTGTAAATTGTAATCAAAAGATATCTGAAGAAGAGCCACATCTTGCACTTAACTCCTTGTATGCCAGCAAGTCACTGTCCTACTGCAAAAGCATTCAGAAAAGGATTGAACACGGTTTTTAAAAAATGTACTAGCTACATGCTTGTTCCAGACTAGTCATTTACAGATGACCGTTTTAAAACTCAGTGAGCGAAGGAGCTTCTATATTCCTTCCCCTAGGTCACTGTAAAGAAGGTGATCTCACTCTGCGAGGCCTCCAGGATTTTTAAATTGAAGTTTCATTACTACAATTTCCCGTTCACTTGGTCGCCAAGGAGTGTCACAGCTCCTGATGTAATCACTGCAGTTACTGAAAACAAAAATCTAACATGAGAATGAGATTTCCTAATGCTAGCTACAGCAAATGGACAGACCTAGGAATTCAAGGGTATTGCGTAACTCCCTGGAAGCAATAAGCAGCCTGTGGGTTAGTCACCAAATTTGTGCTATTTAATTCCAGACACAAAAGCTGCCCTTGACTTCAGGGAATCCTTGCTAATATTCCACTATAGGAATGTTAATGTCAAGAATGTAAAAATGACCATATTCTCACTTGTTTATTAAGGAACACAAATCTCACATTAACAGTGGCTATAATTGGCTCCTTAAAATATGATTTTATTGCAGCAGAACAAGCTTTTGCTAGTCACAGAAACCTGAGGTTTTATTAAAGAGATAAAACATTTACCAGCTGTTCTCGGTTGAGGCGAGCTCTGTGAGGTCCACCCTTTACCTCATGTGCTTCTTCTGGCACTTGACCACGTGACTCTAGGCAGGCCTTCACCCCTGAACAAATACAGGAGAAATTATACACATGAGTATTATATGTGGCGTTTGAGCTGAATGGTAACTTGCCTGCACGGTTGTACACGGGGTAATGACAGTATTAAAATCTATTAAAACACTGAACACCATCTTAGGGCTGGTCCACACCAGCTGCAGTCTAATGCGTTTTAATTCTGCATCAAAAATGCATGGAGAGTGTAACATGGATTCCAATGGCCCAGTGAAGTGCGTTCCAGTGCAGTCAACAAAAGTAGAAATGTTGCATTTTTTCTGTACACACATGTGGAATGCTGCAAAACACATAAAAAATGCACATGTCCTAAACTGAGATGAAGAAAACAAAAAGGGTGGGAGGGAACACTGATGTGAATCAGCTCATAGTGTTACCAATTAAGCAGAAATGACAGAAACACAAAACCGCTAAAGTGATGCAGAGCTGAAAAGTTAGCCAGCTGAAAGTTAGCCTAAGAATAGTAGGAAAATAAATGCAATATCTATCATACACTGCACACTGTACGCTTTAGCATGTGCTGACCCCTTGTCATATTACGTGGCCTACCACTTTGTGGCTGAGTTGCTGTTCCCAGTTGCTTCCACTGTGTTATAATACCACTAACAGTTGACAGTGAACAATTCAGTAGCAAGGAAATTTCAAGGATGGACTTATTGCACAGGTGTCAACCTATCACGGTACCACGCTTAAATTCACTGAGTTCCTGAGAGCAACCAATTGTTTCACAACTGTTTGTAGAAGCAGTCTGCAGGCCTAGGTGCTTGATTTTATACACCTGTGGCCATGAAGGGAATTGGAACACCTGAATCCAATGATTTGCAGGGGTGTCCCAATACTTTCAGCAAGTGTGTGTGTGTTTATTTTTTTTTTTTTTTAAACAAGCCCACAGTAGTGTGTGCATACTATATTATATATACTATATTCACTTTCTGTAGAATAAAGATGTTGGTGCCGCAGCTGGCGGTCACCATACTTCACCTAATAAGAAAGTGTTGCAAAAAAAGCAGCTTTGCTATAAAAATCTGTGTCCAATCACTCTGTAGATGTTGAGGGAAAAGGAAAAAAACAAACAATCTTTTAGATTAGAATAATAACCAAAGCAAAAGGTTTAAAGGATTGACCACATGATGGGAATAGGCTGCTATGCAATATCGGAGTTTTCAAGAGGTTTTACAAAGTCAGCTAGGACACTGAAAGTCAATGTCCTGAGAACCTTTTAAATCTTGTTCTACTACTAATGGTTATCACCATGTTAAAGCACGCCTAAACTTAAAGTGGTTGTATACCTCAAACATGAACTACGAGCAAACACATATCCCTCTATAGTATGTACTTGTCTCAATACAAAGCACTAAGTGCCTTTTCTGTCCAATGCCTCGTTCCTCTGATATAAGCATGAGCCACTTCTGATGTGTTTTCTTGACACCAAGAGAAAAATGGTGACAGCCTGTGATTGGCAGTCTCAGCTCTGTCCCTGTGTGCTGTGTGAAGGAGGCGTATCCTCCATCAGCTCTCATAGCTCTCCTCACTGATGTAACTTCAGCTCTCTGCCCCCTATTTTTAAAAGCTGAGAGATTCTGTGTAAATTCTGCACCTTATATGGATGTAGGAGAAAGAAGGCGTTCGATAAACAGGTACAACTTATGTAAAAGGATTTATTTAATCTCTCTGTGTATCACCTGAGGCCAGTCACTTCACTGAGTATGTGTGAGGGTTTACAACCACTTTAAAAACTTACCATTTCTGTTTAGGGGAACAATCAGTCAATATGAACCCTTATCCCTCCCCACCCCACCCCACCCTTCCTCAAGTGCCTAGACGTTTGGTCATGTGTCCACCACTGTAGGAAGGCTGGAGAAGAATTTTCATCTGAAAAGATAAATATATCAGCCCTTTTATTTCTTTGCTCATCACAGTAGTGTAATGATGCTTCTATATGGTCCGATGAGCAGTTTACCCAGAAAGGTGATGCCACCATCCTGCCTATGTAGAATACAGGGAATGTGTGAATCACAACTACAAACATTTGGCAGGTAAAAGTTCACATAAATGTCAGCTGTGGTTTACCAGTGTTGCTAAAAATTTATATAAAAATGTTCTAAATTGTACACTTCTGCAAAGTCCACAAATGACTGTAACACAGCCTTGTTTTCAGCTAGCCTAATGAAGACAGGAATTTAGTCATTTTGCACAGATGCGCTGGTAGTTAAAGAAGCTCCACTGGTCTTCACTTAGAACTACTTACATGCTCCCAAAGTCATTACAACCTAGCAATGTTTCGTGTAGTAATTGGGATCCCTACAGGCAGAGCACTCAGCAGAAAATAGACTGAACGGCAAGTACTCCAGCCATTGCACAATGGAAACATTTCTAGGCATGCTTTAGCTTCAAAACCTCTACTGCACCTACACAGAGGGGTCACCAAATAGATTAGAATCCAATGAGCTAGGAAAGAAGAGTATCTAAAGAAAACAATACAACTCTCTCCAAATGTTTGGCTGCAAGGAGTCATTTTAGAGAATAATGTCAAGATTTGTCCAGTCCTACATACAGGCACCTATTAACCAATTCAATACCGGGCAATTTTACACCTTCCTGCCCAGGCCAGTTTTCAGGTTTCAGCGCTCTCACACTTTGAATGACAATTGCGTGGTCATACAACACTGTACCCAAACTAAAATTTTATCATTTTCTTCACACAACTAGAGCTTTCTTTTGGTGGTATTTAATCACCGCTGGGGTTTTTATTTTTTGCTAAATTAACAAAAAAAGACCAAAAATTTTGAAAAAAAACCCCACTTTTTCTTTGTTTCTGTTATAAACGTTTGCAAATAAATAATTGTTCTTCATAAATTTAGGCCAAGATGTATTCTACTACATGTCTTTGGTGAAAATAACCCAAATTAGGATGTATTTTTTAGTTTGTAGGAAATTTATAGAGTTCACAAACTATGGTATAGATCTGAATATTGATCAATCCTGAAGTACTGACAGCCAATCTAATTTCTTGAGGTCCAAGAATGTCAGAACAGTACAGATATCCCCCAAATGACCCCTTTTTGCAAAGTAGACAGTCCGACGTACTTCATAAGAGGCATGGCGAGTTTTTTTAAGTTGTATTTTTTTTGTCATAATTTTTCAGAAAATGAAAAAATTCTAAAAATAATTTTCACTATTTTGTTTTTACATACTGTCACCAGTGCAGTACAGCGTCATCATATAACTGGCATGGTGGTGATCAGGGACACTGACTGGTGACAGTATGAAAAAAAAATATATATATTTTTTTTAATTTTTTTTTAATTATTTTTTCTTACATTTTTTTTTTCTTTTTTTTAAGATTTTTTTTTCATATTTCACTATGACCAAAGTAGTACAATGTTACCATAGTAACATTGTACTACTTTGGGGAAGTGATCAGTATTTTCTTTTTTTTTTTTTTTTTTACACAATTTGCTTATAGCAAAGAATTACTTTGCTATAAGCAAGCATTTACCTGAATGACATCGATTCATTCAGGTTTTTTTTTTTTTGTTGTGCTTAGCTGTGATTTGGCCACAGCTAATCACATGACATGTGAACATTCACAGCTAGACACTAGTATACAATGGGAACTTCACTCTCTCAGTCAACTCTCTCATTTTACTAGGAGGCGCAGTATGTGAGTCTTCTCTGAGGTGCTGGATGCTTAACTATATTGGTGAAAGCTTGATGTAGACTAGAAAATTCTGGCAAGTGTGAAATGAATTGTATTTTATATTGGGAATTAATGGACGCGGTGCCATCTCTACGAGTAGCTTCAAGGTTTAATGGGCTGTGCAGCACCAATCTAATGTGTGTAGGCAAACCAGTCATCGATAGTGCTTGATATAGACCAGGTCTCTCTGGCTGGTCTGCAGTCTCTGACCGTCTCCTGTAGCCTGTCCGCAGTCTCTGACCGTCTCCTGTAGCCTGTCCGCAGTCTCTGACCGTCTCCTGTAGCCTGTCCGCAGTCTCTGACCGTCTCCTGTCCGCAGTCTCTGACCGTCTCCTGTCCGCAGTCTCTGACCGTCTCCTGTCCGCAGTCTCTGACCGTCTCCTGTAGCCTGTCCGCAGTCTCTGACCGTCTCCTGTCCGCAGTCTCTGACCGTCTCCTGTCCGCAGTCTCTGACCGAGCATTTGAGTCATGAAACAGCTGTGATTGTCTGTGTCACGGTGATCACATGGTCGTAAAAGTTCCTGATCAGTAGCATGTTCTGGGAGCTTTCTGTTCCCCACTGGTGTCTGTGCTGGCAGTGCGCAGGGCACGCATTCTCAGCACAGAGAGTTGTTTATATTGGGTCACATGTATGTGGCCTCTAAGCGGGTGAGCTTTAACTATGTCGGCGGGAAGAGGTTAACAGACCAATTTGTCCAGCAAAAGTAGCAGCAGGTTTGAGACAAACCATTTAACATTGGCGGGGGGGGGGGGGGGGGGGGGGGGCTTACAAAGATCAGCTTTTATTCATTTATGTAAAAGCTTTATTCCATAACCCGGCTAGATATGCACAAAACTGCAGCACTCTATATCACTGATGTTATGCACTGCATAAATAGTAAAGGGTGGTATTGTCTGCTTTAGTGGATGAACTCTGCAAGTAACTGTACTCCCTTTTACATTGCCCTACATAGGCGACCTCAGCATTCAGTCACTTTATCCTCCCCACTACAGGCTCCTACAAGGAGAATTGTCTTTTCGTTTTCTGTACTCAGGTTAGTAGTTTTGCAGAGCTATGTTTTTAAGTCTACTTCTTTATTCACTCCTCTGGTTACCGCCACACGAAAAATGTGTGATGAACTACATCCTATACCATAATGGTCATGGGACTGAGAACCTATATTTCTTGTCTCTATCCTCTGTTACTGTCTAATAACTCTATGGGAGTGATTACATCTCCAGGGACACCAAACAAAAAGAAGCGCTAACAGACCCACAGTAATTAAACACGCTCAAATCACTGGAAAAAAAGCAGACTAAACTTGGTGTATTGGGCATCCTCCCCAAGGATCCATTGCATGAATTTCTACAGCTTTCCTTACGAGGCTGTGTTTTGTAACTAGGAAACTGATGGCACAGAAATGGACCTCTCCAGTTCTTACGTTTAATCAGTGGAAGAACACTGTTAATTCCCTGCTGGAAAGAGAAAAGCTTACTTATCAGCACAGAGAATGCCTCTAGAATGGATATCCTGTGGTCTTACATATTACCTGCACAGTGCTCCAACAATGCTGCTCAAGGGAGTGTTGCTTAAGAGGGTCTGAATAGAAAGATTCACTTTAGATACATAATCCACATGTGCCATTAGCTGGCAACACTTCTACAACTTACAAGAATATTGAAGGATCCAGCAGCCAACAGACATCCCCATCATACACTTCATGGTACGGAGCATGGGATCCTCCCCGACAAGAAGGTGAGTTACTAAAAGACAAGAAGACAACCATAAATTTACAACAAAATCTTATAACTTCATTTTGTGTCTTGTTATTTTAGGCTTCAACAAATACTATGTACATACTATAATAATTATTATTACTGTAATATGGCTGCCTTGATGACCACCAGAAGTATTTGGGAAGTGGAATGGAATGATCTACTGATCACTCTTGACGTGTGGTATTTATTGAAACAACTCCAGTTTGAATTTCCCAGGTTTGTTAAACCAAGTTTAGGTTACCTCTAGACATGTCAAAACTTTAATAAAGTTTAATAGACTGCATGCACTTTCTTAACCACTTGACCTTCATGACCAGGGCATGGCCTATTCAGCATGGGATATTATGCGGTCATGCAATGCTGTACCCCCCAAAAAAGTATATCATTATTTCCACACAAATAGAGCTTTTTTTTGGTGGCATTTGATCACCACTGGGTTTTTTTATTTTGTATTAAATATCTGAAAAAGGTTGAAAATTCTACTTTCTGTTATAAGACATATCCAAAAAAACAAAAAAAAACTGAAAGTCAAATTTCTGCATAAATTTAGGCTGAAATTTATTCTGCTACATGCCTTTGGTAACCCCCCCCCCCCCAAATCCTAATAAGTGTATATTAATTGGTTTGTGAGAAAGTTACAGTGTATACAAACTATGGTACAATATGTATACTGGAATTTACACAGCTATGATGCTCTACTGGTAATGGCGGTGATCAGTGACTTATAGTGGGATTGTGGTAGTGTGGAGGGTGATCTGGCGTAGCCGATGCTGGCTGGGAGGTACACTAACTGACATCAATAGTCACACTAATACAGTGATCACTGTGCTAATACTGTACACTGTCACTGTACTAATGAAACAGGCTGGGAAGGGGTTAACATATAGGGGCAATTAAAAGGGTTACCTGTGTACCTAACAATGTGTAATGCATGTCATGTGTGCAGCTTTCACTTTAATATCTGGCTGTTTTTATCCCTGCTTTGCAGGGAGAAGTAACAGCCTGATCACTGTTCCATGTACAGAGTTCTGTGTTTTTGTAAACACAGAACTCTGTGTGTGATTGGACACAGCGATCAGCTGATTTCAGCAAAAATCATTGGCTGACATCAGCTGCCAAACCTGTGCTGTGTCCAATTATACAGCAAGGGTCGGCAGGCAAGCTCCAAACCTGGAAGAAGGCCGGTCACATTTAGCATTAAATGAGGCCCGTGTTCACGACTCTTCTGTCATTTGGATATGCTGTACTGTATATGGCAATATTTTCATTTGAAGTAATTTCAAAATACAGGAGAAAACATCACCAAACTACCACAAACAGGCCAATACATATTTAAAATTCAAAGTGTCACACTTGCAGAGAATGTAGCCACCCACCTGAACTGCTGTAGTTAGAGCATATTTCTGCCTTCAGAAGTGCAGCAAGCTTGGCAAGATTAGTCTTTTGAGAGGCTGACAGGCCGCTAGCCCAAAAGGACAACAGCTTCTTCTCTACACTGGCGTCTGTTCAGCTGGAAAGCACACAATCCAAAGAGACACCATTAAAAATTAACTTGCGTTTTATTTGGTACCACCTAGCTATAAATCATAAATATTCCATATTTGACACAGTTTTCCCTGCCATTTATAGCACGATTATGAAGGTTCAGTTTGGATTTATTACAGATTTGCCAGTCTGTAGAAGCACAAGCTGTAACATTCATATTGCGTACCATTCAGGTGTACTATATTCCTATTTAAGGCATGTATAATATCAACTTAATGTATATACATGATAATATGTTATACCAATGCAGGTAAACGTGCAGACACATCAGTTCATTAAAGAGACGGAGCAGAAAGCTCTAGTTTGGGGGTCTTCAGCCCTAGAAAAGGTCAGTGACTGATACAAAACACAAAGGTCTATAGAAACTGTAATAGTTGAAGTTGGAAAAATCCTCTAATATTTCTATTAAAGTAATCTGATCGATCCTTTTTTAACCACTAGCCACCAGTTGCACACATAGAAGTGGCCTCTCAGCAGGTGGGCTTTAATGCCAATATATATGCTGCATATATATGCATCTAAAAGGTAAACTGTCACTGGTGCCATGCAGTTCTCCTGCAGCCTGTCAGTGTGAGCTGTCTGCCCGTACATCATACGAGCACTGATAGGGAAATTGCATATTACATATTTCCTTATTAATATTGTGGCTCAGTTATGTTTAAGAATGCCTCGAAACCATGGTTAAAGGGCTATACGAGGACTAAGTCTGATTACCTTAACAAAGGAATGTTACTATATGGACAAGCCATCTCACTCTCCTTTCTTAGGTGGTCATCATGTTGTTTGCATGGGGGTGGGTTGTCCATTTCCTTGCACACAAGTCCAGTATATGACACACAGCTAGGCTGGAAATGTTTGTCTCTACCCACGGCTTGCAATAAGCATGCGTCTGTTCTGGTCATCGGACACGGCATATACTGGAGGGAACCGTGGCGGAAACAGCATCTTTGGTTAAGTATTTTGTTATATTTTCTTTATCTGTATCTGTCATTACTTGTAATAAATGTTTTACTTATAAGTATTTGTATGATCTCTCTTTGCACATATCGAAAACAACCCCAAAAACATAACAAAACAAGCACGCAGGTTTATACTGACAGGAAGACTCAATGAACTACCACAGTACTTAACAGTCGGTACTGTTTCATTGATTGACAGGGATCTGTGTATGTAGAGTATGGGTAGAAGATCCCTGGTTCCCTGCCACAAGAATGGGGGGGGGGGGGGGGGGGGGGGGGAATCAGGGGGAAAGAGGTCTGATGCTAAACATGCTACATGTTACACCCTAAATATGGATGGAACATGTTCAAAAAGGTGAACGTATCCTTTAAGCCTGGGTTCACATAGATGCGAAGTGATTTGATGGCCGATGTGGTGAGATTTTGTTCAAGCGGTGCAGGTGTGATTCTGATGCGAACTGTTAAAGTGTATAAGGCTGGAAATCACACCTGCACCGCATAGAAAATCGCAGAGGACCCTTTTCAAAATCACACTGCAGCTGGCCAGTATGTATGTGAACGGGCTCCACAGAAAACGATTTTATTTGACCTGTCATGCAAATCAGCGCGGTTCAAACCGCATCCGACTTTGCATATGTGTGAACCAGGGCTCAGGAGGAAGTGGTGGGAAGGGGTTAAATGTTTAAGAGTAAATGTCCTGCCTATGAATAGTCACCACAAGTTGCCCGATATTATCTGTGTTAGCCAGAGAAAGCTCCCACAAGGCCAGGCTGAACAAAGGGCTTTGACTTCTGTCTACGCTGTGATTAGCCCAGCCACTTCCTGACACGAATTCCTACTACTGCCGTTCAAGTGACAAATGGCGGAACCTTCGTGCACAATAGAAGTGCTGATATTTCAAAATTCAAGTTTTTTTTTTTTTTCTTTTCTTTGTGCACTGTTTCCGTTAGTTGAAAAAAATACTACTTGAAAGCATCCTCCCTTTACAGCAATTTACCACAAGTGCCTAAAATGTTTGCACAGCACTGTGCCTGTTGATCTTGCCAAAAATCCAAGGGGCTCCCAACTTCCTGTTTGAGCTAACAGCTTTTTTTGTATTTGTACCTTTTGTAAAGAGATAAGGCTTGGGGAATATGCATGTAATGCAGAGACATGTGGCATACCAAGACATACACTTAAAAGAGGGCAACGTTAAAGGTTCTCTTGAAATATGGATAATTAATTGTCCTCCCCTGTTCCTTCAGAGTCTTAACCCCTGAGTTTACACAGGGATAATTTCTTCCTCTTATTCACATGGCCTGTATCCCAGGAACAGGCCACATGCTCCTTTATAACTGCAAGAACCAGGTACTGAAGGAAGACTCCAACAGAGCAGTGGGAAAAGTAGTCAAGGAATGGTGTACAGCTTAAAGCTCGGTACACAGGTATCGAAAGTCAGCTTCTGACGAATGGTCTTGATGGAAAACCAGCATTTGATCAGCGCTTGCAGCCAATTGCTGCAAGCGCTGATCAGTGTACTCTGGCAGGGGGGGGGGGGCCCTGTCAGAATGCAATAGCACAGCAAGAGAGATCCACGAGATCCCTGCATCACACATCCCCGTGTTGATGCAAGGATCTATCAGTTTTTGTGTATACCCGGTTTTAGACTAGGATCCTTGTGGGACTGCAGGAATCGATGTGAAATCTAACACAAGCACTTTCAAGCACGATCAGGCACCTGGAACTTAGCACTGTCACTTTTGTGTCTAAAATGGTGGGAGGGGGGGCTATTGCAGTCAGGCAATTAGGTGAACCCATTGCTTTTCCCTGCATGAAGAAAGCACAGATGCCCTTTAGGTACAAAGTATGTGCTATGCTGCAAAAGCATGGCATACATATATATATATATATATATATATATATATATATATATATATAAAGTTATAATGAAGGTTTAAACAGATATTGTTAAAACAAGAAAAAACAATAATAACTTAGGTCCCATACAAGGGAAGCTATGGCAAAAGTCTCCCACAACCCTGCAGATTTTAATACTTACAGCAGAGCATGGCAGCTTTACAAGTGGCTCCTTGTTTTTCTGTGCTTGCAGCAAAGCCAACTTTATCTCCTCTGTTTCTGCATAGTCTACAGGCCGCAGACCGAATATATTACTGGTAAAACAAGCACAGATGGGTTTTAAGTAAATACAATATGTGACTGGATTCTTAACTAGGTACATTAGCGGGAATCAAGTTTTATTTCCCGTGTCTTGTTTCTCTGCAAGTTGGACTCTCAACACATACACAAAAACATAAGCCTTGGAATTACAGTCAAGACAGATGGACTGCAGGCTGACAGGCTGCTGAATCAAACAAGATATATAAAACACAGAAGCCAAAGTCTATCTCCTCTGACACAAATGTCTTCTGTTTGCTAGTGATACGGCATAAATGCAACAGCCTGCAGGCTTCATGTTTATGGTACCTATCCCATACAAACAGTCATGTGCAATTCTGACATTTCCATTTTTCAGTGCATGGCTCTGCCAAGATAAACCATAGTATTAGGTATTCCAGAGACTCAACTTGGTATCGGCAAAATAAACTCTAATGAAATGCAAATATGAAAAATAAACTAGTTTTACATTCTGGATGAACTGAAAAATAAAAGCTATTAAAATGAATGTGTGTTCAATTTAACCTACTAAAGTGACTACAGAACAGAAAAGCAGACACAATAGGGTTGCTCACATGTTATATCAGACAAAGTCCTTAAATCTGGACTATTCTGGTATTCAAATATCACATTCTTAAAGCAGATCAAAAAACAAAACTTCACCACCCGCTCAATAAGCCAGATTGGAAACAGAAGCTTCTCCAGTGCATTCTACGGTTGCTCCTTGGGTGCCTCCTATAGGGATCGGATTGCACTCTCAATGGCCCTGCTTTACCAGTATTGTATTGGATTACTGGCATGGACATCTTAAATCTTATTCTCTCTCGTCCTTGCCCAGTTCCACTCATCCTGCTGTTGGACAACCCCTCTTTTTTCCTTGGTCTTCATTTGGACACTTTCCGGAGTTTGGATAGGTCTCTTTGGCTGCAAATCCATCACGCTTTAGAGGTGGGTTCTTTGCTCTACTTTTCATGTTTCCAAGCTGGGCATGGCCTCAATAGAGGTCTCTGGTTTACGTATCTCAAGCTAGAAAGCTATTACCATTCTCTCTCACCAAAATTGTCTATGCACCGCCCTCAGACTTCGCCTCCACTCATCATCTCTAAAAGATGTATACTCTATTAAATCGATTGTCCTACAGTCTCCTCCCTTACATGACCAAATAGCCCTCAGAGTTGGACCGAGCCCTTTCAGAAGAAGACTGGGTATTCATTTTTTATCAACACCCATAAACTTTCTATGGCCTGCTACTCCTGTTGGCACTGCAATACTTCCCTGGGAACTATTCTTCATATCTGGTGGGCTTGTCTGCCCCAATTTGGCAACTGTGGGGCCTCTATAACTTTTATGTTCAGACAATAAATAACAAATTCCCAAAATATTGGAAATCCTCTGTCACCTTTGTTCCCTGAATGGCTTGAAACTCTTATCAACATCATGTGCATGGAGAAACTGGTGGCTGTCCACAAAAACAGCTATGAGAAATTTACGTTGGTCTGGTTGGCATGAAGAATATTTAAGGACTCTCCCCAGTTTCATGCCTTTGTGGATGACCTTCGCTGACTTCTACTACTATGGCCTTGCCCTCTGGTACATCTGAAATTTTTTTTTGTTCTTTTAGTTATGCATTAAACCTTCAGGAGGTATTCCCCCTGTGATTTTCCATACCCACTAACAACGCAGGTTTTCCCACCCTGTTTCTATTGACCTTAATGCTCTTGTCTCATCATCATCTATCTTTCTTTATCTTTCTGCTGTAGTTGTTTTACTGAGCTCAGTCACCCGGCTGCTATAACTTCCTGTAAGCAGAGGCTCTTGGTTTGTCTGTATCCTCCCATGTGCCCAGGTTATCGGAGTTTTTATGCTTTATGAGGTCATCCTCTCCTTCTCCCAGTGCATTTCCAGATCTGTATACCGAGACACTCTGTTTATATCTCTAAATGCAAAGTATGCCTTTGGCGACTAGGTTGTCTACTTGTAATCTTCTTTGGATTTTCTTTTTTACACCTTAATAATCAATAAATACATATTTGTCAAAAAAAAAAACAAAAAACGACAGGTTTAATTTTTGCTGCCTGTGTCCAAGTGCTGTGATTTCCTATACTTCTTGACACAGACACAATGTGAGAGGAGGTTACCTCTTATACAGTTGTCACCTGAACAAATTCATTGGAAGATTTCTCTCTCTATTCTTGTTCTGGTAACAACTTGACATTCTGAATCTTTTCTCACTTTCATTCTCAGTAATAATGATCACCAGGAAAAATAGACAGGATGAATCTCCCTAATATGGAGTTGGACAGCAATAGGAAACCGACAGAAACTCTACAACTTCCCTGTGCTATCCAAAACAACAAGAAACTGTTGGATTTAGCTACACTTTAAGCCAAGGCCCACCCTTCCATCTCCAATCTCGCTAGTAGTCAGTAAGGTCCTCCATAATCATTATGCACCAATAGTGCCATAAGCTTCCAGATTTACACACGTGCTGGAGGTTTGGGGTTTTTAGCAAGTATCAGTGTATTTACATGCACTTCTAAGTGACTATTTCTTTGGTTTGCAGTTACTTTAAAAATAAAAACTCAGAAAACAAAAAAAAAAACACAGCATTAATTTTTACAAAAGCTATGGTTCCTCCCCTCTGCTGAGTGCCCCCATAGCAAGCCACTTGTGTGTACTAGCAAGAAGCACTCGTGCATACTCGCTCCAAAGCCGCTTGTGTGTGTCCATAAGTAAACTGAGTGCAGCTTGGTCCCACCCCTTACTCCCTCCTCATTGGCTGTGATTGACAGAAGCAGGAGCCAATAGCTTTACAACTTTACCTTTACAACTTTAAGAATACTTTATTTTATTATTATACCTGATTACCTTTTTGCTTTTTCCAGCAGTTTTTCTCATTACAAAACCAAAGCTTGGAACAAATTAACCAATATCCACAGAGCAGAAGAGTGCAATCATGTTTGTGAAAACCCCTGTAATTTTAACCACAGTCCTGAAGAGGATTGCAAGCTTCAACTAAATTGTGAGCCTCAACTAAAGTTGAGTGTGTGTGTGTATATATATATATATATATATATATATATATATATATATATATATATATATATATATATCTATCTATCTATATATATATATATATCTATCTATCTATCTATCTCCAAGCTATCTTTTTTTCAGTGCAACCAAGCTATCTTGTCTTTTATGTGGCAAATGCTGCCCTCTCAACTGCAATAATTTACATGCAGTCTACCGACTTTTTGAATGAGCATCTTATTTTTTAACAAATAATGCACTGTAAGTAAAAGGAATGTAAAACACAACTGCAAAACTCTGCTATTTGACGCTGTTATGCACCCTTACAGGGATGTTGAATTCCTATCAGAGTTTTTTTCTACCTTTAGCCCTGCTGCAGGGAAGCAGCAGGGATCATCTGTCAGGTGGAAGCAATCGGCTGCAATTGCTTCCAACACAATGCCAGCCTCTCCGCCCCCTCGTGTGAACCTCCCCCCCGACAACTATCTCCCAGGCTCCGCTTGCCTATCTGCAGGCTCAGTTCACCGCCGTCAACTAGAGTGGAGGAAGGAAAGCGGACACGTCCACTCCCTCTTGTCCTGACTCGGAAGTGACGTTATGATGTCACTTCCGGGTCCCTGTTGAGAGATTCACTAAATGTAATGCGGTGCGAAGTGCACTGCTTTACATTCAGTGTAGTACAGGGGAGACATGCAGGGTCTTTTAGAACTTTGATGTCTCAAAGAGAACCTGTCACCTATGTGATGAAAATAAATTAAGCGTAAAAATAAATAAATAAATATTTTTTTTTATTCTAAAAAATGAAAGTTACACCTAAGCATATAACATCCCCCCCACATATACGC